GCTTGCTCAGCTGCTATTGCCCATAGGAATTACTTCTTTCGTCTATACCATAGCGACATGTCAGGTTGCAGTAGACGTCTCTTTCTCTCACCCCTTAATGAGTGCAAGCGTGTCCCCAATGAAGCAAAGTCATTACAGTGTAACCCGGATATAAGAGAGTTGTCGGGACCGGAGAAGGAGTCTCTTATATCCGGGTTTCTCTTATATCCGGGTTTGGTCTATTCTATATACATTAACACAGGTTCTAATTTGGGACCAGAGAAAATCTCTCTTATATCCGGGTTTCTCTTATATCCGGGTCTCTTATATCCGGGTTACACTGTATTTGCTGAAAGAATGAAACAACGTATTGCATCTTGCAAATTCGGTTCCAAAGATTATTGGCGTCTCTGCAAGAGCGTACTGAACAACAGCAAATTCGCAATACCTCCTTTATTCAATCAATTTGAGGTCCTAACTTCCCTGACTTCTTGAGCTGATAAGGCTGATTGCTTTGCTCAGAAGTTCTCATCCAATTCAACGCGAGACTTGACAGGTGTACCCACACCCGATTTTCCCCCTAGAACTGAGGCTTTATTTGAGCGAGTTGTATATAACCCCACGAGCCTTTCTAAATTCTGTATATTTGCTTTAATTTCGGGTGAAAATGAAGACAAAAATTGTCCAACATTTGAATATTTTTATTAAGCTGGTCCTAGATACAATGCATTGTGTTGTGACGAGGTGCAAACTTAGTCACAACACATTACATTGCATCTAGATATATGGTTCTGTTGTTAATATTTCGGCATCTCACCTGGTACGACGTCATAGAACCGAATCATAAATTTACGACCTGCGTTTATGTCAACAAAACAAATTATCATCTTTGATGGTGAATAGCAATGTTTAAATGTTCGCATAACCGCTCTGAAGATGGCTTATGTGAGCTGAAAGCTTAGATCATATTGATAAAAAAATATCCAAATGTTGGACAATTTTTTTTTCACCTGAATAAAAGCAAATATACGGAGTTTAGAACGGCT